TTTCTTGAGACAGGCAACCTTGTTTTGAAGAACTCAAGTGGTAACATTCTCTGGCAAAGCTTTGATTTTCCTACTGATACTCTTTTGCCTTTTCAAACATTTACCAAGAGCATGAAATTGATATCTGGGTTGAGAAATGGAAGTTTTGCTTCTGGGTATTTCAGTTTGTATTTTGATAATGATAACGTGTGGAGATTGATCTATGATGGGCCCGAGATATCGAGCTTGTATTGGCCTAATCCTGATTTGAATGTCTACCAAAATGGAAGAACAAACTATGACAGTAGTAGAATTGCTGTTTTGGATGATATGGGTGTGTTTTTGTCAAGTGATAGGTTGCAATTTAGTGCTTCTGATATGGGTTTTGGGGTCAAAAGGAGGCTTACTATGGATTATGATGGCAATTTGAGGCTTTATAGCTTGAATAATTTGACAGGAATGTGGGTAGTTTCATGGGTGACTCTTACACAACCTTGTAATGTGCATGGTTTATGCGGTAGGAATGGTGTTTGTGTTTATGCCCCAGAGCCAAAGTGTTCATGCCCTCCTGGTTATGAAGTCAGTGGTCCAAGTGATTGGAATCAAGGTTGCAAGCCTAAGTTCAATTTGTCTTGTTCAAATTCTCAGCAGATGCAATTTGTGGAGCTTCCGTATACAGATTATTGTGGGTTTGATCTTAATTATAGCCCATCAGTTTCAATTCAAGATTGCAGGAACCTCTGCTTGGACGATTGCCATGGCGAAGCGTTTAGCTATAGGCTGACCGGGCAGGGGGTATGTTACACAAAAAGTGCCCTTTTCAAAGGCTACCAGTCTCCAAGTTTCCCCGGCAAGATTTACTTAAAACTGCCCGTGAATGTGGAAGCATCGGGAGAATCAGAACAAACAATATATAATAGCTCCAAACTCGTATGTAGATCCACTGATGCTGAAGTTGTAGTGGGTTTTACTTCCACGTATGACATGGCTGGAAAGAGGGCCAAATGGGCTTATTTGTACACCTTTGCTTCAGCCATTGGTGCGATCGAAATCCTCATTCTTGTAACGGGTTGGGTTTTTTTCAGGAGACATGATTTGCCAGACACACTTGAAGATGGGTATCGCATGATATCGAGTCAATTCAGAAGATTTAGCTATGCCGAACTCAAGAAAGCAACAAAGAAATTCAAGGAAGAGCTGGGAAGAGGTGGCTCAGGGGCTGTTTATAAAGGTTTTTTGGCTGATGAAAGGTTGGTGGCGGTGAAGAGATTGGGAGATGCATTTCAAGGGGAAGAAGAGTTTTGGGCAGAAGTGAGCACAATAGGTAAAATCAACCACATGAATCTAGTGAGAATGTGGGGATTTTGTTCAGAAAAAGGGCTTGTAGTAAACAGTTCACTTGACAAGCACTTGTTCTCTAACAACTTTCTTGGTTGGAAAGAGAGGTTTAAAGTTGCAATAGGGACAGCCAAGGCTTTGGCCTACCTTCACCATGAGTGCCTAGAATGGGTTATCCATTGCGATGTAAAGCCTGAAAATATACTTCTGGACGGTAACTTTGAACCAAAAGTTGCGGATTTTGGGCTGGCAAAGCTGTCTCAGAGAGGCGGTTGTGACTCGGAATTTTCTTGTATTCAAGGAACAAAAGGGTATTTGGCTCCTGAGTGGGCTATGAACCAACCCATCACTGCAAAAGTGGATGTGTACAGCTATGGAGTGGCGATTTTAGAGATGGTTAGGGGAATTAGACTTTCAAATTGGGTGGTGGTGGATGGTGAGGAGGCAGAAGCAGAGCTCACAAGGTTTGTGTGGATAGTGAAGAGGAAAAATCAATGTGGAGAAGAGTCCTGGCTAGAGGAGATAGTGGATCCAAGATTGGGAGGGCAGTTTAGCAGGAACCAAGCAACAACACTGGTTGAAATCGGTGTTTCCTGCATTGAGGAAGATAGAAACAAGCGACCAACAATGGCTTCGGTACTTCAAATTCTAGTAGAGTGTCAAGACGATGAATCAAAAGACTATACTTGATGCAGGACACACGGACACGGCAACTGATGAAGTTAACTTGGCCAAATTTTATCCTCTAGACTTTCAAATTTGTGCCCATGCTGCTTTTGTTTTTGTTTTTGTTTTTCTGTTGTTGTTGTTGTTGTTGTTGTGATAGTATGATTTTGATGCCCTTTTTTTGGGGGCATACTTTAGAATGTTATAGAATTCTAACTCAAAATTTTAATTTTTGGGTAAATTTTAATTTTTTTTCTTCACTATTTTGTTTTCTATTTGGATTTTTGGAATAGGATTATTCAATTATAAATAGGGCTGAGTCTCTATAAAAAAAAAATCAATTTTCAATAAGAATTATTTATTTCATATTTTCTCCACGTGAATGAATTTAGGATTTTCTCATCTGCCAAAAAGATATCTAGTCGCTTTTGCTATTATTGTTACATCAATAGTCCAATCGAACAGTTGATATGTAAATATATTCGATTTTGAGTCTATGTTTTAAGTTTTTTATTATTTTAAATTTTGTACACAATTCAACCAAGGAGGTTGAGTTTCATGTGTTTGAAAATAAATATAAAAATAAAAATGTTTTACATTTGATTTTGAAAATGGAAAATGTTGTTTCCAAAGTTTCCAATGAGCTAGTTTGTTTTTTACCCCTTTACAAAATAGGTTGGCTTTTGCTAAATCACAATAACAATCATATCTATGGGTAATTCTATTTACACACCGGAATTTTTTTTAATACACATCATTTTCTTAGTTCACACCATACTCAATTTAGATTCTTCTATTTTCTCTCAATACACACCATCATTTTTCAAATAATACCAAATTACTCCTATCTTCTCTAACAAAACCCTAACCCTAAGTACTTTCACCACTGGCCGCCAATAGCCAATAGCCACCCCTTACTATCTGGTCGTCCACCCCTCCATGGCCTCTCTCCCCTCATGCCAACCTTATTGACCCTCCCTAGCCCTCGCTGTCGCAACCACCACCCACCAACCCTTCTCTCCAACTCTTTCGTACATCGTCCTTCACCCTCTCACATCCCTCTCTTCTTCTTCTTCTTTTTCGTCCATTCAAACCCTAGATATCTCTCTTTAACGCACCACCAAGTTACAGGGGTAGCTGAGGAGAAAGAGAAGAGAGAGAGAGATGCGAAGAAGAGAGAGACGAAAAGACGCGAAGAAAAAAAGAAGAAGATGAGCCATGACGAGGATTGGTGAGGCGACGATCAATGAAATCGGGAGTTGTGAAGGTTGCGGTCGGCAAAGTCAGGGGTTGGGGAGATGGCGTCGATGGAGTCAGAGGTAGGCAATAAATGCGGTAGCTGATGATGGTGCCGCTATGCTTGAAAAAGTTGGGGTTTATTTTGTCCAAAAAAGTAATTTAACTTAGGGATAAAATTGTAATAAAAAAAATTAAAAGATGGTGGGTACTGAGTAAATCAGTGATGTGTAAATAGAATCACCCCATATCTAAATGTAATTTTAACATTCAATGCATGTTAGTAAAAACTCTACCCTGGAGAGGGCAATTTCATACCTAATTTCCAATTTCCTAATCAAGATAAAGTAGAGGACTTTATAAATGACAATGGTACCTAGACTATAAGGGGTCTATTCCTATGAATGCAAGAATTACACAACTATGAAAAGGTACTATTATAACTCTCACATATTGCCATATTGTAGATTATATTTAGTAGAAGTAAGAAAAGATACGGATAATTTTATTGTAATTTATTTATCAATTAATAATAATATATAAGATATTATCACCATTAATTGTTGAAGGGTAGCAAAACCTTAACGCTGTGTTAGGTTGGAAGACTTGAGAAAGAATTTTAAAGAAAGAAAGAAAAAAATGTAAGTAAAATATAAACACATTTGATTAAGGTACTAGACAGGAATAAAAGGTAGGAAAACATGTGTTTCATTTGAATTTTAATATTATCTCAAAATGAGGACGGGAGTTATAGTTGAGGAACATCTAAACTCTATATATATTTTAGTGTGACATTTGTTCAACGTATATAAAAAAATTTAAATGAGTTTAATAAGTAATACATATAGATTTTTATTTATTTATTTATTTTTTCTCTTTCAAAGATGATATGGTATACAACATAAGTGTACAATCTAATTTAGGGAGCCCTGACTACTTGGACTACCCATTTTTCTCATGCATAGGGATTGTAGTAGTAAAGGATTAAGATTCTTACACTTATTTCACACATTGTTTAACAGTAAAAAATAATTATTATATCATTCTAAATAAATTGAAGCAGTCTTTGTTATTGTTTAAATGACTTATTTATAATTTATTTTAATTTGAAAGTTTGCATCAGTCTATATGGTATAACTTTTGCTTGCAACTTATTAAACAAAAATAATTTAAATAAATTGAAAAAAGTTGATGTAAAAGTTAAAGAGTGTTTTTAATTTTTACTTTTTAATTATCAATTTTTAACTTATAATAAGTTTCACCAAGACTATCCTTCACTCAGTTATTCCAATCATTTATCTTATCTACTAATTTATTTTCAAAATTTTATGATATATCAAATTCTTGATTTTATTAAGAATAATTTTAAATACTCATCCTTAACTTTCTGGAATTTATCCCAAATGGAATTGTTTTATTTTGATTGAATTATACAGTATAAAATTCATAAATAGAATAAATTCCAAAAGCAAAATAATAATTCTAAATAATTAAGTTTGAATTTATAATATTACTGATTCATACTAATTCCAATTATATAACTTCTCCTCACAATCTTATCAATAATTCCATTAATGTGTCATCCATTAAACAGCAAAAAAAGTCTAAATCCCTTTTAAAATTTGGCAATCAAATGTGCCCTGTTAGATCATAGCTAGACACTTCAATGTAACGGCTTTATTCATTCCCGCCCCCATTTCACCTATATAAAACATACAACACCGAGACGTACTACTCATACCCAACCCAGTTCCAATTCGTCCTTCCCAACCTCAATCCCCTCTCTCTCTCTCTCGCATCAAGAAACCATGACCAAGATCGACACCCTCCGTCGATTCCTCCTCCCCTGTTTCACCCCCCCCACCACCACAACCACCACCACCGCCAAGAAACGCCTAAGCTCCTCGCTTCGAGACGACATTCAAGAAGACCCACCAAAAAAAACCCACAAAAACGAGCAAGACCAAGACTCCACAACCTCCGACGAAAGCTCCATCACCACCCACTCGGTGGCTCCGCCGCGACCCTCCAAGACCATGGTCATCGGCACCATCTTCGGACACCGCCGCGGCCACGTCTGGTTCTGCGTCCAACACGACCGCCTCTCGACCCGACCCGTTCTCCTCCTCGAACTCCCCATCCCCACCCACCTCCTCGTCAAAGAAATGCGCTGCGGACTTGTCCGGATTGCCCTCGAATGCCAAGACCGACCCGGATCCGAACTCAGCTCCTGCCCGCTCCACTCTGTCCCGGTCTGGACCATGCTCTGCAACGGTCGGAAACTCGGGTTCGCGGTTCGGAGAATAGCCAATGAAACGAACCGGCTCATGCTCAAGACCATGCAGTCCATAACGGTCGGAGCGGGTGTAATTCCTTCCGGGTTCGGGTCGGGTGAAGGTGATGGTGAGCTCATGTACATGAGGGCTAACTATGAATGTGTGGTGGGTGGGGCACACTCCGAGTCTTTTCATCTGATCAACCCGGATAATTTTCCGGGTCAAGAACTCAGTGTGTTCTTGATGAGGTCTACTAGGTGATGGAAATTTTGGATTGATCAGAGGGGCATTTTGGGTAAGGAAAGCTTGTTTATGTTGGATCTAGAAAATGATGGGTTTTCTGTTTCAAAGATTTTTCTTTGAAATTCAAGTCTTGAAAACTTTTTTCAAGCCATAAATTACAAATCTTTGTTGGAATTTTGGGCTTGTTTGAAGGGCAATCCTGGAAAACAATTCACATTTAACTTATATGGAATTTGCTTCAATGGTGGATGAGAGAGATGAAATTGTAGAGGAAGATGAGTGTTAATTTCATTCAAAAAAAATTTTTTTTGACATTAGAAATTACATTTTCAAGTAGTATATCATTTGTTTTCTTGTTGTTTCATTGAAGATTTTTTATATTTTTATTTTTAATTGTTTGGACAACATAGAAGCTATAATTTTCACAGTATAAATAAAATTATACCTTTGAGTTTTCATTAACTTTCTTAGTCAAATTTGTCAAGTATTTTTTTGCTTGTGTGGGTGTGAATTTTAAATTGAATTGCACAAATCTTTATATGTTTGAGTGTTTACTTCTTTCTATTGTTATTGATTTCTTATTTTGTCATAATACATTTCTTAATCAAGAATATAATCTTGACAATCAAGTACTGAATATTCAAAGCAATCCTAATGGCAGTAGTTCATCTTCTTTACAATAATTGCATTCCTAGCTTTAATTTGGTTAAGGCGCACATTTCCTGCCTAAATTAATTTCAATGCTTATGTCTGTCCCAACTACTTATTAGACCATGCTTTGTGCCATCCTGGAAAGGCTCACATTGCAAAAAGTAGTAGCTATGCAAAGAGGCCACTCTAATCATGTTGGTGTGTTACTTCTTAGGTAAAAGAACTTTCCATGAAGTTGCATTGCTGCATATATAGATAGAACAATCTTTTTGGATCTCTGGTTTGGTTGCTAGACAATTAGAAATTAGATGAAAAGGCTTCTCATAAGAGGAATGGAACTCATTACTCATAACATCCTTGATGATGAGCTGCCTTGTGGTTTAATATTATGTTAGATGTGTGGATATGAAATACATGTGCGTGAAACAATTAAATCAATAATAATAAATATTAAATTTGAAACAGTTAGTTTTAAAAGGGCTATTTTAGATATACATAAATCGTAATAAAGCTTTAAAGAGTTGTATACTTTGTATAATAGAAAAATTATATCCTTGCAAAAAATACCACAAAATGATATGATGACTTTTATAAATAAAAGTCATTTTTCATGGTTATTTTGATTAGTGAAGTACTTTTCACTTTGCCAATGAAAATGAAAGCGGAAATTGACGTGTAGAATGAAATAATGCCTAATCAATTTAGTTATATATTTATGGGAAATGCTTAGTCAATTATTTACATGTAATAGTAACACATATAGTAGGGAGCTGATTTTTATGTAAAAGGTAGTATGACGTCATTTCCCTGGAAAGGAAAATAACACATTGGAATGAGTTACTTTTGACGGTAATAGTGAATACTATTTTCAACCTCATATCAGATTAAAATAGTGGAGACAACTTCAAACCAATTTTGTTATTCTTTTTCTTGTTCAAGGAGATTTTTCTCTAAACCACAATGCGGGACATAACATTGTTGTAGACTTACATTTATAATCTTTCCACCATCTTTTTTTTTTTCTTTTTTCTTCTTTCTTTCTTTTTAATTTCTTTCTTTTTAATATTTTAGATTTTAGGAATTATCTTAAAAGTATAGCTGGTCATAGACGAGCAAAGTTGTCGCTTAGGGCCCCCAAACTTTTTCTCCAATTTAGTGCTCCTAAAAAATGTGGCCCTTATACTTTATCCAATATATATATATGTATTGTTTATGTGTTAGGCCTCAAAGAAAATAAAATTATAAAAAGAAAAAAGAAAAAAAAGCTCAATTCTAGATTATGCAGGTAAAATAAGTATTTTTGAAACAAAAAGGCGAGGAAAATAATATTCACGTGATTCTTTGCTACAATTTGCTCAATTTTTATTTGGCATACAATTTTAAATTGTTTTATTGTTTTTTTCTTTATTGTAATATGAATTGTTCTATTTATGCAAGTAAATTTTAGTATGTAATTTTGATAGTTACATATGATTTTTTTTGTTTTTGTTTTTGTGAATATATAAGGGCCCCATAGGCTTCGCTTAAGGCTCCGGAAAACTAAGGCTAGCCCTGCTTAATAAATTATGACTATTAAAAAGACAGATGGTAGCATAAGAGATTAATATTCAAAAGTAATTTGAAGCAACATTAAGGAATCATGCTGTTTATTGGCCATGGACACTATTAATGAGATCAAGAACAGTGAAAAGAGTTTGGTTAGCAATTTCTTACAGATTTGTAGTAAAGCAATCTTTATGCTTTCTTTTTTGGGAAAAAGCATAAGAAAAAATATCATGCTTTCCCTAATTAATGGAGTTAAGGTTCATTTGGTTCACATATGGGACAACAATAATTAGAACCAAACAATTTAAAATCAATGAGAATAATGTTACATCTCATAAAAAAGATTCCATGTCTGTATCAGTATAAATCCACCTTCAATTGTGGGAAAAAAGAAATAAGAATATGTTATTAAAGTCATTATTTTAGAAACCTTTCAGTGTCATTCTAGATTTGGCTTCAAGGATGCTCATCCGCATCAAAATCTATGAAAATTGTACCCAAGGGATATATACAGGTGGGGTTTAGCAATTATTTTTTTTAGTATATTTTTTTAATTTTTTTTAGAACTAAAAAGAGCTAATGTTTTTAGTAATTATTAAAAACGTTACTTTTTTGTTATTGTGGTGGGATAAAATATTGGCCAAAACCCGAATCAATTAAGCAGAGCAGCCCAAAAGAAAGGAAAGGCCCAGATAAATTTTCTAAAGAGCCCATTAGGGATAGCTAGCGGTAAACTGGCGCATGGCTAAGAGTGTGAGGAGCAATGAAGAGTAAAGATTTACTTCTAGAAGCAATTTTGCAAAATGTAAGAGGAGCGTCGGATTCATCTTCATCTAACGGTGGAAACATCAGACAACAAATACAGGAGTATAGGTCAGGCCTACTAGATGGTAGGTTTGTCCGGTCAACCTAATCTGATGAACATGACGCTTGGCAAGCTGGCCACTAACATCTAACATAATCTAAGCTGCCCATAAGAGAATGATCCAACAATCAAAAGCAAAAGCAACTTGACCACTTGCCCTGCTAAAGCTGGGTACGGGCAAACCCTCAGATCAAACATTGATCTAACGGATGAGATTCAAATCAGAAAAATTACAAAAGACAAAGCAGGTAAAGCAAAGATGACAGACCAGAGATAATCTAAGAACCCTTTTTTAAATAAAAACATTTACGGCTAAACAGTATTCTGATTTGACCATGGAAGGTCCTTCCAACCAACTCTAGTCAGGGTGATCACTAACGTTTTGGTTTCTCTTGACAAAGTAAAGAAAGAGACATGTCATCTTGCTTTCCTTATGGAGAAGAATTCTACCTTCCACAATTATGGTAAAAGTTTTGTCGGCCTTTTCAAATTGTGGAGCTTTTGTTAACATAACCACAAGGCCACAGTGAAATTTGACCTTTTTAGTAAAAAATAGCTTATTTAGAGATTGACAATAGACAAATTTACGGAAGAAATGGTTGAAGGAAAGTTTGGGTTAGTTGATTTATTAATTAATCTTGTAAATAAGGCGAGACAAGCTAAACCTAGTCAAGTTGTGGTATTTTAATCTAAATTTAAAAAATTTATGAGTTGTAAAATGTTATTAAATTTGACTTATTATATTTCATTCCAATCTTAAATGAATTTTAATTGGAATGGACTAAAAAACTATTATAACAAGTTACAAAATATGTCAAATTTGACCGTCTACTTAACAAATCAACTTCAAATAACATTCTACACAAAGAACCTATTAAGCACACAAATCGAAGAAGTCTACCATATTTTATAGCCTGCTAGATAATGATTAAAGCTAATTGTCTTAAAAGTATAGAGAGTGTTACAAATAAATAATTTTACTTTGCTTTATTTGATAAATTATTTGGACAATATGCGGCTAATTAGCAAAAACTCACCAATGCTATGTTTGAATCATTGATTTGTTAAGTGAGAAATAAAATATAAAAAATATATATAATTACCTAGACACATTCATTTTTATACTACTAGCCCCTCAAAGAAATTTATTTGACAAAAACCTATTAATGTACATAGTACCTTTCATTTTATTTTATTTTCCTATTTGTTTGGAATTATTTTTCCTTCCACAAGTATAAGATCCAAACATAGCATATAGAAGTGTAACTATTGATGGTCCTCATAAAGAAAACTTTCTAAATTCTTAAACCATAGCATAAGATAATAAAACTATGTTCTTTGACATGCAATAATGCCTCTCAATGCTCATGTAGTAAGAATGATAGGGTTGATGAAGTTTTTGATGACAAGTGTTTTTAAAGAAACAATAATGCTAGCATGATCCTATTTATAATAGATTATACCACTCGTATCTATTACTGATTCAGAAATAACACATCACCTGATAAATAAAATATGATAAAAAAATATGATCATTATAATAGTATTGCTAAACAAAACTTTATAACTTGTTTTTGGCTTAAACTGAAATTTGATGAACTTATGGACCAGCCATGAATTGTGATCGGCAAAGACTTCATATCTTTCATTGCACATTTATGTGCAAGTTTCATGTTCTTCAGCAATTCTTTTCAGGTTTTCAAGTTTGTCCTGTCAACCTAATCTCCTAATCTATCATTCGTTATGGTAATCTACAACAAATACTACTTAGATGAAAGAGCCGAAGGGTAGTCTTTTTCCATATAGAGACTCGCGCAGTTATCACCATTTAACATGGTGGTACTCTGCTCATACAATAATATTACTAACTAACTAACTACACCTAATTTAGTCCCCATTTGATGGGGATTTGAGAAAGGTAGATTAGGTACAAATCTAACTTTTGGCATAATTTCCACATAGTGGTTGCTCTCAAATTCGAACTCACAACTTAGTAAGTTGAGTTCTAAGTGTCTTAATTCAGCCAATAAGTCATCCTTCGTGGTTTGAACTGCAAGCATTTACACAATTATTAAGGTGTTTTAATCTGGCTTATAGGTCTTCTCTTCACTAACTATAAAGTCGCAACCTATCTAATCTCATACTCGATGTGGTGATTGACTCTAATACCAAATGAAACAAACCCTTAGTATAACTCACCTTCGAAAACCACAGGAGGATGTCCAAGAAACATATTTTCACATTATAAACCTATTATTAATTGAATTGTAACAAATA